AATTATTGTTAATGCATGAACCAATATATATATATATATATATATATATATATAGAGAGAGAGAGAGAGAGAGAGAGAAAGTTTACTTTGCAAACCATGTTATTTGTATAAACTGTACAAACCTCGTTCAACTAATCATAATTTTTTATTTTGTTCTTTTTTTAATTATAAGAGGTTGATTAATCATTTTTATTGTGGAAGGTGTTAATAATGGATATTATCATCTTCATTATATTAATTTTAGAGAAATACATGAAACAATTTCATTAAAATTTCATAAATATTATATGAAACAATTTCATAACCATATATGAAACAACTTCATCAAAAAAAAATATTATATGAAATAATTTCATAAGATCAAACAAATTCATGAAAATTTTCATAAGATCAAATAATGAAATTGACGGATAAGGATGATTTGTATAGTTTGTACAAATAAATGTGGTTTGCATTTGATCATTTCTTTATATATATATTAAAAAAATGTATTCTTTTTAAATAATAAAAAATAAAAAGTATCATATGTATTTTTAAAAAGCAAATTAATTGATATTTTTTTAATAATTGTTGATTCTTTTTGCAATAAATACAAATGTATGTATCAACATTTATTAGGTTCATGGATGTGTAGGGTGCCTATTCATGTCGATTGCAGAGGGACACCATCCATGCCCCCTCCACGTGATATCTTTTAAACCACAAAACCATTTCTCCAAAAAAAAAACTCATTTGAAATAAAGGGAAGAAAATCAATTTGTAAGAAAGTGAAAAGAATCAATGGCTATCTCATTTAATAAATAAATTAAATTAAATATTATTAAAGACAATAGTCATCATTTTTTAAAGGATATCCTAAGTTATGTCTGGTCTAATCCTGATAAATTGTGACTGCAAGAGAATTAACCCTGATAAACTCATTTTGGTGTATGACATTATCTGTAACCGTGGTAATAATCTGTAATAAATCGGGATTGATTTTGTTTTCCAAACTGATTTCACCATAAAAATTAAATTTGTAACAGTTTGATTATAGGTTCTATCACATATAATTTGTTCGAATGATAATTGTAAATATTTTTGTCAATTATACGTGATTATGTATAATTACATTTATAGATATTGTTGTGATGCACATATCATCACACGTGATAATACGTCACTTATACTCAGTTGCGTATTATCTATCAGATATGATAATACGTAAGTTATACTCAGATGCATATTATATCATATGTGATTATCATATATGATAATTCGTAATATATACAGATACAAGTATATTATCACAAGTGATATGTACAAAAATTCATAAGGTGAATTATATATGATATGTAATAGATCATATGTCAAACGTAATTAATCACATGTAACTTAAAGTGTGGATCGTAAAAATAGAGAAAAAAATGTGAAAAAGATAATGCATTGATTATGGTTATCAAATGTGATATTTGACAGAAATTTAAAAAAAAATCTTATTAAAATATATTTAAAAAAATAGTGAAAAAAGAATCATATAAAAATATTATGAATTAATTAAAAATTTTAAAAAAATTAAAAAATATAATGAGATTTTCAAGGGATTCTAATTGAGATAATAATTATCCTAATTTTTTTTTATTTAATAGTGATTTTCAATAAATCATGTGGTTATATTATTTCTCATCTTCTCATAAATCAATAGATTTTTCGTTTGAACTCTTCCATGTGTGATGTATAAAGGGTGTTTAGGATTGCTTATTTGAAATAACTTATTTTTTTTCTACAAAACCACTTATCAACTTATTATAAGTTAAAAGGGTTTAACTTCTTCAAAAATTTCTTATTACCGGTTTGACATCGATATAAGTTGTTTATCCAAATGCTTATTACCGATGTCACATCGGAATAAGTCAATAAGTTGTTTTTTTAAGCAATCTCAAACATCTCAATAATGTAGACTATCATAAATTTGTAATTAAGTGGACCATTCGTATACGAAAATTAATTTTAGAGATTGGAAGAAAAGATAAAAAAATCAATATTTATATTTTTATAGTTTGAAAATTATATATTTTAAGGTTACGTAGAACTTGTCTTGTTTTCTAAATATGTTGTTTAAAGTAAACATTTCCAAAGTATAGACGTTTTAATTAATCTAGCTTTACAAAATATGGAATTTCAATAAATATATAGACTTGAGATTATGTGATATCAAATGTTTTTCGTGAGACCTGTAAAACCAATTTTCAACTCTTGGATTAGATTTACAATCTGAACATTCATAAGCACAAAATTGGTACAAGACTTTCTTAATAATCACAAAATTGTCACCGTGGAAATTTAGACCATTTATTCATTAGCTTATAAAGCTGATCAATGAACATAAATTGGTCTTACGAGTCTCACATGAACCCAATCTTATATATATATATATATATATATATATGTGCTATAAGGATACTCAGTAAAATACATTGAGACACATCTTGATTTAAGTGTTTCGTTTTATTTCTTTTTATGTCGATATAATACGGTTTTATATGGTTTTGAGAAATCAATAATGTTTTTATTTTTGAATAAAATATAAATTTGAAAATATCATAAAATTTTGAAGAAAAAAAATATCGATATCAGTATCAAATAAATCTTTTTAAAAGTTCTTGTGTTTTGGTGTAATTTCCTTACTTCAATTTTTTTAATTATAATTTATTTAGGTTTAATAATATAATTTTTTATAAAAATAATAACTAATCTGTTAGCACTCAATGATTATCCTAATTATATTTGAGATTTTTTATATTTAAAATGAGATGTTTATCCAATATTTGATTATGTTTATTTGCAGTTAGTTACACGAATTCAAATATGAAGCCTTAATAAGTTGTACTTATGCATAATTTACTTGTAATCTTAAACTTTAAATATTATACATCAATAAACAGTATTCCATATATAAAAAATTATTTTTAAAGATTTTTTATTAAATACTTTATAATATAGTATGAACATATTTCAAATCGGATAAAGAAATCATTCTTGTTCTAAATTAATAAAGCGAAAGTGATAATATGTTTGTGGTCGTAAAGGATGAGAATACCTTTAAATGGTCATGTCTTTGTAACAAAATTCCTTATTTTTGACAATTTACTTCTTTTACTTCCATCAATTAATTTATATATAATATAGGAATTGACACAAATTGTCAAAAGTTGTTTAAAAATATTGATCCTTACTGTTTTTTTTTTTATTAACCCGGATATTCAACCCGTTATACGAGTCGACTAATCTCATGACGACCACCTGTTTTGCAGATAGCCTGGAGTCACCACATTTGAACCTTCGTGGCCACAAGGGGTTTTTATTTCTCCTTGGTTATTGTTAAGGACTATTCATGTTGGAACCCTACTTTTCTCTTTAATGGCTATTTTGAAGAATAAAGATACGGTTTTACAGATTTTCTTATGGTGTAAGAGTCAAGTCTACCGCTCTGATACTGAAAATCTATACTCATCTAACCCTCTCTTGACACTCTGAAACAACTAGTGTTCGTCTAACTTGTTGGTGATTTTTAGTGTTATCAACCATTTTGGTGTAATTGTGATTTACTTGAGATCGATTAAAATGATAAGATAAACATAAGTGAGTTAGGATTTGTGGAGTGCACACTCACAAATATTGCCTTATCATCTTAGATGACCATAAAACAAGAGTCAAGCGGGCCATGTCCCTTGAGGGATTCTAGGCACAACCCCCCTAGCGGATTCCAAGGGACAGAGCCTCTGGACGAATTTCAGATGGTTATAAACCTTCTTGAAATTATTACTGAAGTTGGTAGAAATTGACTAAGTTTGAAATCTCGAGTGTGCAATCAGGTCTGTCAACTAGACTTATACTCAGTACAATCAGAGTTCGGATACAGTTGTAATTGTTCTTTAATCTTATCCATTAACAATTATAACCATTCTTAACCACTTGTAACTGTCGATCTCTCGTATAAATATGTAAACGTGAATCTGGATATATATATATATATATATATATGGACTCAATCTCACAACCTTTGAGATAGAGAGTTTCTCTTGAATTATCCCAATATCAAATTCGTGATATCCAAGGCTACAAGGGACAAATTATTGTATTTTGAAAGTGAACTTTCACGATCCAACGAGATTATCCCGTCATGAATCATCTACGGATCCCTATCTCTAATATAGCCTCCATTGGAGGGGGCGTGTGTAGTCTTGCGTTGCCTAAACTTGGACCATTTCTCCTCCATATATGTTACAACTTTTTTTTCTCTCAGCTCAAAGGCTAGTTTGGACAGTGAATCTAGGATTCTACATTATTTTTTATTAACCACTAATCTCAGGACGACCAAGTGCTTTGCAGATAGCCCGGAATCACCGCATTTAAACCTCCGTGGTCACAAGGGGATTTTTATTCCTCCTTGGAGGATTCTACATATTCTTTCAATCACAAAATGAAAATGAAAAACATTAAGTAATTAACGTACTTGAACGAAGCAATCATGGAAGTGAAGTCGAAGTAAACCGGCAGCTTGGCCAATATCGGAGTTGAAAACGGTTTGAAGCTGTTGTCGTATGATGGTTTGTAGCTGCGGACAGGTGGTCTGGTAGAATGTATAAGACAGGCCCGGCGCCACAGGCGGCGTTTGAGCTTCTAAACCTCTCAACGATATGAGTACAGCAAATAGCAGAAGCGTGGCTACGGATGAAGCTTTCAAGGAAGCCATGGCCATAGCAATATATCAGTGAGAGTACTTTATAAGGGCTTGTGGCTTCTAGCTAATGGCTCGTGGCTTCTATTTATAGACATATGTATGTATATATATCATGTTATATGTTTTTTTTAAATTATTTGATTATATTTGGGTTGGTGAGATGTATTGTTCAAAAAATGGGATATTTCCCTTTTTTTGAAAAATTAAATCCAATTTTTTTTTATTAACCTGGATAACAAATCCGCTATGCGAGCCGACTAATCTCATGATGACCACCTACTTTGCATATAGCCCGAAGTCACCGTATTTGAACCTCCGTGGCCACAAAAGAATTTTTATTCCTTATTAGATTTGAACTTGGGACCTTCTATAGTAATTAGTGGGAACGGTCCAAATTCAAGTTTGGGAATCGCTTCTCTACCAACGAGATGTTTGATTTTACCTCTCCTATGATAACCGTTGCAGCGAAGACATCGTAGAGGTGCCGTTAGTGTTTTTTACATTAATAACTATTTTTTTTAAGTATATAATAATTATATACGGCAAATGCAACAAATAAACTCACACACTCTCCTCACCTATGGTGAGATTTGAACCCCTAACCTCCTAGAAAACCAAGGGTTACGATACCGCTAGGTCAAAGGCCCTTTTGGTTACATTAATAACTATTACAAGATATTAACAAGACTGATTGCTGTAAACACGTTTTGTTTTATTAAATTGGTATTTTGGGTTTTCATTTATTGGTTATAAATATGGTTTTAATAATTTAGCATCAAATTGTTGCACTTATATATATATATATATATATATATATATTTTTTTTTTTTTTTTTGAGATCATATGACACCAAGGGTTTTTCGTGAGAAACGTGAGACCAATTCTTAATCTTTGGATTAGATCTACAATCTAAACATTCATAATCATAAAATTGCCATGAGATTTCTCAATAATCACAAAATTGTCACCGTGCAACTTTAGACCATTAGCTTATAAAGTTGATCAATGAACATAAATTGATCTTACGGGTCCCACCAAAAACTCTTGGTCTCACGTAAACTCAACCATATATATATATATATATATATATATATATATATATATATATATATATATATATATATATATACACACACACACACAATATTATAAAGCATTTGACGAAAACTCTTAAAAAACATTTTTTATGCATGAAGTACTGTTTATTGTGCGTATGTACAACTTATTAAAGCTTCATGTTTGAATTCGTGTAACTAAGTGCCGATAAACATATCAAATAAAGAATAAACATCTCATTTTAAATCTAGAATATAATTAGGATAATTATTAAAATCTAATATAATACTTAATTATCATCTTAAAAAAATATTTTTTTAAACGAAAAATAAATTAGTTCGTTATTAAACTTTAATTATATTATAATAAAAATTTGAATTATAAAATTACACAAAAACGAGAACTTTTAAATAGTTAATTTGATAATAATATCGACTATCTTTTTAAAAAAATTATAATATCTTCAAATTTATATTTTATTTAAAAATAAAAACATTTTCTTTTATCAAAATCACATAAAATCGTATTATAACATCGATAGACCTAAAATATAAAGCAAAACATTAAATTCAAGATATATCTCGCTGCATTGCCCGAATACCCTTCTAGTATATATATAAAACATTAGAAAAGTGAGGTAATATTAGTGTATGCGATTTAAACTTATGCTCCAAAGACCAAATTTACGTATCGACGATTGATGATAAAGATTATATTTCGAACGGTAAACTTAAAAATATATATTAAGAAACCCTTTGATTTTAAAAAGTAAAAACTTTGAATAAATCTTACTTATTTTGGATAAAAACGATGTTTCCATTTCGGGTTTGAACATATTATGGACGTATTTAATTATGCAAGTATATGTGTGTTGCAGAAAAGAGGATGAAAAAAAGAGAGATATTTATGAAATTTGAATTTTTTTTAAAAAAATATATATTAATTATAATATTAATTATTTTAAATTAATTGATGATAATAAATCTTACGTACCTCACGAATTTTTTCCACATACCCGATTACTTTAATTAATCTTTGAAAATTGAAAGAAAAAAAACTCTGTGCTGCTTTAATAAGGAATTCTCATTTATCTTTTTATTAATGATTTACTTTTTATTTTATGTTGTCACTTATCTTATTTATACTATATTATAAAGCATTTAATAAAAACTTTTAAAAACCATTTTTTTATGTATAATGTACTGTTTATTAATGCATATTACTTAAAACTCAATATTACAAGTAGATTATGCGTAAGTACAACTTATTAAAGTTCCATATCTGAATTCATGTAACTAACTGCAGATAAACATAATCAAATACAGGATAAATATCACATTTTAAATATAAAAAATCTAAAATATAATTAGGATAATAATTGAGTTTTAACAGAATACTTAATTATTATTTTTATAAAATGCTATATTATCAAATCAAATATAAATTATTTTATTATTAAACTTAAACTAAATTATAATAAAAAAAATTAAATTAAAAAAATTACATAAAAAATAAGAACTTTTAAATAGTTGATTTATATTAACATTGATATAGTTTTTTTCAAAATTTTATGAAATCTTCAAATTTATATTTTATTTAAAAATAAAATCATTATTGTTTTCTTAAAAACACATAAAATCGTATTATAACATCACAGAGACAAAAAATAAAAATAAGATATGTCTCGCTTTATTACGCGGAATACCCTTCTAATTTAATTTGATTATTTTAGTGATTAAAAGTTATTTTAAAAGTAAGAAATTTATTGATAAAATATAAAATCGTATATAAATAAAACGGTTTTTATTATTATTTTATTTTTCCTAAAAAATTTCATCAATTTTTTAATTAAGAGGAAGAACAAATAAAAAGACAAAAAAGCGACAAAGAAAATATGAAATAATCATAAAGAAATAAATAGAATTAAAAAAGTTAAATTAAAATAGATTTTGACAAAGACTTTATTCTACAATTATTGGATTTGAAATAAATTATTGTTAATATAAAAAAATAGTAATAGTTTTTTATGTTAAAGTAATGAAAATATAATTAATAAATAAATACAAACACAAAAAGCTAGAAGTCGAGACCGGCTTCCCAGATTTTATAGTACGTGAAAAAAAATTGTTCACGTGGAATATTTAAAAACCGTGGTTTTTGTTTTCGAAGGCTTTAAATTCTACCACTAACTTTATGCTTTTTACTTCATTACAAATTTTATTATTCCACCTCATAACAGAATATGAATTATTGTTTCATGTCTGGTAAAACTTTTACATGTAACAGACAAGAATATAGTGGAATACACTACTGGAAAAAAGAGTATTTTCGACAAAAATGTCATCGAAAATTTTCAACGGATTTTAAACGGAGATTTGACGGAATATGAATTAATTATTCCCTCAATTTTTGAATAGATTTGTGACAGATAATCGGCATAAACTGTTCGTCGCTATTCTGTTCAAAATGTTCGATGGATTTAGTCTTTTACAAACTTACGTCATGTTTAAAAAAGATAGATGAGAAGATTGCAGAGCCGCAAGGGATGTTTGAACAGAGGTGTGAGTAGCAGATGGAGCAACAGGTACAACAACATGTTGTAGTACAAATGAGACAAATGATGGAGCAGGTCGCTAGATTCATCGGTGTTCCATCAGCTTTATACCATCCCCTCACTCTCCCTCGGGTACAGCAACATGCAACAAAAATAAGACAAATGATGGAGCAAGTAGCTAGATTCACTAGTGTTCCAATCAGTTTCACACCATCCCCTCCCCCTTTTTGATTTTAGCTAGACGAACATATTGTATTTTGCACTGCTTATTTGCAGTTACATATGAACAAATTTAGATCACTCTGTTTATAGTGTTATATTACGGTCTACTGTAATTGTGCTTGGGCAGATTTATCCGAGAAATCACATTTTTTTTCAAAATACATAAATTAAGATGGATTTTCGACGAAAATCTATCAAAATCCCAAGAAAATTCGTCGATAATAGCAAATAAAGTGATCACATCTGTCCAAAATCCCATGAAAAAGATCCGTCGAAAATCCCATGAAACAGATCCGTCGAAAATCCCTCGAAATTGCGTATGTCGAAAATCGATCGAAGATATCTCCAAAAAATGATGTCGAAAATCGCTTGGAAAATTCATGGGTTTTTTGACGGATAAATTCTGTTGCAAATTCCGCCAAAAATCTCTCGAAGACCCATTTTCAACCAATATTTCTTTGACGAAGGTTTACATCGAAAATCCGTTGAAGCTCACCATTTTCGACGGATTTTCAACAGAATCTTCCGACTGAAAAGCTCTTGTGTTTTGTAGTGACATGTTCCACCCCTACCCTATGGAACAACCGAACAAGCTAGATGTAACAACCCAAAATCCAAATGGCAATAATCATAGAAATTTGTTATAGTGGCCCCAAATTACAAGTCAAAAGTAACCAATACATCTCAAAAAAAAATTACAAGTCAAAAAAATTTATGCATAATTTACTTGTAATTTTGAATTTTATGTAATATGCATCAATATACAGTACTTCATGTATAAAACACTGTTTTTAAGAGTTTTGTCAAATGCTTTATAATATAGTATAGATAAAAACAAAATATACATAATTGAAGTCAAGTCTCAAGCTAAAGTTATGATATGAATATGCTTTCTTTATTAGTCTTAAAAACGAATAAAATTGTTGAACCTGTAAATAAGGGTGCACGCGGGTTAGGTTGGGCGGTTTACAATATATTTACAACCCAACCCAATTGTGGCGGTTTGGAAAAATCTCAACCCAACCCAACCTATTCAAAAGTATAACCCAACCCTTGTGTGTTGAGGCGGGTTGGGTTGGGTTGGCGGGTTAGTAGTTACATAAAGTTGACGAATGAAATAATTCATAAAATTTAAGTTTGTAGACCATGCAATAAATCGTCCAATCTAAAAAGGTTACAATGGGTTTACATAACGTTTTTGGACGCTTCAACCAATGTTT